TCCACATGGGTGTTATATGTAAGGAAGTGACCAGCAGGGACAATGATCTAGGCAGAAGTCAGAGAGGGGGGTGTGGGTGTGAGAGCCTGTGTAAGAGGGAAAGGTCACTGGAAATCACACTGTCACTGTTTGTCAGATTGTCAACTCCATTACCTGGTCTTGTTTGAGCCTGTTGCAATTTTGCAACAACATAGGGTTACCTCTACTGCTCATGGGAAGGCAGGCTTTTCTCACGTTCAATGCTGATGGAAGTGATACTAGCAAGAGATACCATCCAGATAAAATATGCCTCCAGGGGCTCCTGCTTTACAGTGACTATCTGAAACCCAGGGCACCTTTTTTCTTGGGGCAAGTGAAGACACAGGGCCACGTGGAAAACAGCAAAATACACATATGTAGAAAGGAAACTCTGGGATACAAAACTGAGCTGTGGGTTTGGAATCCTTTCTGTGCAAATGGTTTATCTGTCCAGAAAGAGCTCAACAGGCTCCATTTATGGGTTAATGATTTCATAGTGATTAAAACGAAAACTAGAACTTACTGTAATGTAGTGAGAAGCTTAGAGCTTATTAGAACATATGGAACCACCAAATAATTTTAATAAACTGCTCGTGTAAGGATATTCCTACAAAGAGAAGGCATGTCTGACCAGAGAGACTCTCTTTAAGAAGCTGCCAACACACCTTGGATTCAAATGATAAGGCGCCTGTGTGTTCTCTGAGGCCAGGAGAGGGAAAATGTGTGTCAGCTGGCAAGTGGGGAAACTGGTATCTTCATAAAGCATGTGTTAAAAAGTGGAAGATCTCGAGGGATCTTCTTGAAACTACTATTATAGCTACATCTCCTCGCTCTTCCCAAATAGCCCAGTTTGATAAAGTTTATCAACCAACACGAATGTCAGCGAATAGATGGCTGGTTGTATATCTATGAGTGAAATGATGATTATCTGTTAAATTGAATTTTATATCCATTCGACAACGGTATTCAGTTTTCCTCCCCAAGATCTGGGGGTAGCAAAAGGTTTCAATGGCCTGATTTGATGGCCTTGTCTCTGCAGCACTAAATGCTCAGACCAGCACAGGCAGGGTCTGCTAAGGGCTGGAGTCACAAACATCTTTGATCCCACAGGTGGAGTCTTCTTAAATTACCATATTTCCCCATGGATAAGACACACCCTTTTTTGAAAAATTTGGGGTCTAAAAACTGGGTGCATCTTTTTTTTTTTTTTAAAGATTTTTATTGGGGAATTGGGAGAAGGAGAACAGACAAGTTGCTGTCGTTTTGTTCTTCAGTCTAGTTGTGGAGGACATTGCTTCACTGGCCCAAGTTGGCACCATCATTGTGCTCTTCCCGGGCGAGGCACATCAGTCGCTGGCTTCTGGATGGCCGCTCATGCTGGCTGCTGGCTACATAAGGTAGCCCATGGCAACCCACTGCAGCAGGGGCTGCAGCTTATGCCGTCACCGGCAACTCCAGATTGAGCTGTTCTTAGCTGTAGAGGGCAGTGTCACTGGCCCTCATATGTGGGATCCGAACCAGGGCCCTCTGGCATCCCAAGCCAGCTCTTAACCATCGCGCCACTTGGCTGGCCCCTGGGTGCGTCTTATACAGTGGTTGTAGATTTCAAATGCCATAGATGGAACTGAAGACAGTGATTCATCATCAGACACAGATGAGGACAAGCTAATGGTTGGGAGTTTTGACAGTGATGAGTTGTATGAATTTTATGATGAATAAAACTTGAGTTCAGTGACTTTATGTAATACATTTTTTTTTCAAATTTCGGGCCCCCAAATTAAGGTGTGTCTTATACATGGGAGCGTCTTATACCTGGGGAAATATGGTAGGTGCATAGCTCCACGGAGACATGACCAAACTTGCATTGTATAGTGTGATTAGAAGTAAATGAGCACTGGTAGGCTGAATACATGGACAATGGCCAGACCATAAATAAGAACTTTGACCCATAACCTGCAGCAATGTGCCCAAGAAATCAATCCCTTGATCTCCAACAAACTCAGGCAGCCAGCCTGTTCTAAGTCAGACTTGCAGGAAGCCAGATGGTTATCTCTAGCGACAATCCAGGAGGCTAAACAGTAACTTCTGGAACAATTAGCTCCAAATGGTAAGGAATTGATTAATAACCGACCATTTCCCTAATTTTTGTCCCCACTTCCAACTTAGGACCAGCCAGAGAAAAGTCCAATATGCATCTCTAACCCATCAACCTACAGCTTTGCCTTGCCAACAGCCTCTAATCAAGGCATTCTCGGAAGCCGTTCTTTTTTATTCCCACGCTTCTGCCTGTCTTTGAGTCTCTGCTAAAACACCAAAGATGGCAGCTGACTCCCCGTCTATCTGACATGTACCGAATAGTCTGTGTTCTCATTTTGTTGGTCTTCATTTCCATGGCACTGTTGTTTAAATAGGCTTTGTAGGCCCACTGGTTTCCAAATCATCTATCAGTCACTCGCTGAAGAAACATTTGCTAAAAGCTTTAATATGGGCCACATTCCTTGCTAAGCACAAATGAAAGATGAGATATAGCCCCTACCCCAGAGGGCAGTAGCTTAACAACTAGGATGAATGTGAATGATGTGGCAACCAAGTCAATGGGTGTTACTGTGCTGGGGGCAGTGTTTTCCAAAATGTGGTAACTACTGGTTACATCAGATAACTTCTAGGAAGTTGTAAATGGCTGAACATTTTTACTTTAATAACTGTAAACTTGAATGCAGATTAGAAAAAGCAGCATTTCAAGCCCACCAAGCCTGTGATTTCACAGATGCTTTGGGAATGAGTCTGTATCAGGAAAAATCTCGTCAGGAGATAAAAACCACCCTCATTTCAACAGAGAAAATTCAATGTCAAGAATTAATTGGGATTAAAGAACTAAAGCAAAAAAAGAACATTTAAGATATCGTCACTCTTAGGGAAGAAGTTGAAAGTGTTCAATTTTAGAAGCTTGGAGAGAACTGAAAGCTGAAACTCGACCTCTGATAAGGTCAATACCAGAGTCTGAGCGGAGTGGGGGGTCCTATGGGCCAGGGTACTGGGCAGACATCTGAGGAAGGAGAACTGAGTGGTGTCAATGATTGTTACTGAAACACCAGCCTCTGCTGGGGTGAAGAGGTGTTTTGGGGTGACAAGCGAACAGGAAGCAGACAGAAAGGACCTGTTCCTTCTTCCTCCATTAGTCTTGCCCTCTCTCCCTGTGGTCCTTCATGGACTGATTCCTACAAGCAGCCAGGTGGCAAAGAAAAAATGGGGTTTGCTGAGTTCCCAGCCCAGCACCAAAAGCTGATATAAAAGAGTGAGTATGAATTTGAGAAACAGGTTATCTGCTACAGTCCGTCTCCTTGGGCTATTCAGCACCCACACCTACACACACGTCTAAACACGATTCAACTTCCCATAAACAAGAAAAACAACTCTTTATTTCTGCTTAACAAATTGCAAACATCCTTTGTACAAAAGATGTTCTCACCCTTTCTCCAAAGCGGGGAGACCAAGTCTCAGCTGACATCGTTATCAGTTTCTGGCAGACAGTCACACTATTCAACTCACCTCCCGACTGTGTTACTTATACTAACTAGAATTTAGTCACAGGTCCATCTGAATATTCTGATGATCTCAAGACTGAATCCTGTATACCATAAGAGGAATGAGGAGAAAGAAGAAATGAGTACACATACACCAAGGAAGAAAATATGCGTAACTGCTCAGTCACTTGTTTCTATTAATATAATTGATCACAAGGATGTAGTTAATAAGCTTCATCCTTCCTCTATATATTCAATGTTTCCTCTTCCCTCAGACGGGATCTCGGATGCTCAGGCTTTATATCTTGTAGGGTGACCCGCAACTTCATTGTCTAAACGGTCTAAATCATTCCTGCCTCTTTGAGGTGGTTGTAGTTTTCCATTAAAGTTTGCCACTGGACATGGAAGTGCTAAAAAATGCCCATGGGCTCCACATACTCGTATCATTCCCCATCACCCATTGTGTAGGAACAGCATGAATGTTCCTTTGTTCCCAAGATCACATGCATCCGCCAGGAGAGGAAACTCCTTTCTTTTGGTTCAATGGTACAATGACCAGGTTGTTTCAATTTCTGTGTTAATAGCACCAGTGCTGCGTTCCCTGGTGGGAGCACTGCTCCCTCAGTAACCCAGGCCTCCAGAGCTCAAAATGGAGGGACAGGAAACAAAACATCTGTGAGTGGGTTATTGGGTCTAACAGTGAGGGGAGCCACTCTCTCTACCTTTGCTTGATTCCAGACCACACATTCTGACTATGATGAGAGCAACAGCCCCATTGAGTGGTCACGGATTCAAAGCATAAATTACGTTTTGTAAGATGGAATGTTGTATTCCACTTAGGGCCATAACAGAGTCTTAAGCAGACCATTCCACCATTCTATTATGCCTGCTGCTCCTGTATGATGAGGTATGGGCTAAGACCAGTGAATTCCAGAGGCACGAGCCCATTGCCCCATTTCTTTTACTGTGAAGTGGGTTCATCTTATCGTCAAGTAATGCTGTGCAGAATATCACGAGGGTGAGTAAGACATGCCACAAATTCTTGGGATTGTGGTGCTGGCAAAGCACTGGGAAGAATTTCCGGCTTTCTGCCCCAGGATGTAGAGAGCTGGAAGGTGCACTGCTCTCACTTCCACAATGAAAAAGAGTCAGGTGAACTTCAAATTCACGACTTTCAGTAACTCACCAGAGGTGAGGTCACAGAACAATCAAAATCTAAGGAGATTCAGAGAGAGAGGAGACACACATTCATTTAGTTGCTAGGAACAAAGTGAAATGAAATCAGTATTTCTTAGAAGTCCTTGGTATTTCTCTCCAGACAGACACACACATACATACATATCACCATGTTCTAAATTAGTTACTGTTTTCTTAAAGTTACTATTTGGATAAATATGGAACTGGACTAAAATTAATATTTAAAAATATAAGAGAACAGAAAAAGTATATGAAAACATGTTTATTACAGAACAATAATTATTTTATTAATAAAAGGCTTTATACAAAAAAAAAAAAAAGAACAAAATGTAACTCCACAAACTGACAATGCCTTGGTGGCATGCAAATACTTCAGGCTGGAGAGGTGTTTGTTTTTGAAGAATTTACACATAAACTCTCCTAACATTTGATTCCAAAATGTATGTATAAATTGGCTTGATATGATTAATAATTCAAAGTAAAATGTGTACACAAGGACAATTTAAACTTGTATGAATTTATGAGTCAATTCAAGGTCAGTTGCTAGAGATATATATTTTTTTAAAATGTGAGGTCAAAAAAATCTTTCGGAAGAAACCATGTATCTATGTGCATTTGAAAATCAAGGGCTAAAAATCCACTCTTGATGAATACAACTAAGCAAAGGATGTATAACATCCATCACACATCTGTTTCAAAAACAGCATGCTACCAAAATTATACATTTCTTTACAATAAACATTATAAATAAACATTACAAAATCAATAACTGTAGAGAAACCATCGGAATGAGTTCCAAAATAGGATAACTCTCACAAGGTATCCCTGAGCCATATCTCACAAATCCATTTTAATCTTGGGGCTTTAAGAATGTCTTCATTGCTTTCATTGGTTTTATGTCTCCATTTTCATCTTCGTAATTGGCACGGTCTCTTTTTTTGGCAAATTTTTTTCCAATTGTCCCCACCAAGGTCTCGTATCTGTTAAGATGATAGACAGCACAAGTATGATGTCAAATAAGAAAGATAGGAATCAAGTCTTGTCAAGAATATCAACAAATATGCAACAAAGAACAAGAAAAATCAAAACTATCATTAAAATAAACTGTCTGATTTAAAAATTTATGAGCTTCTCTAAGAATGATTAAGCTCTCCACTCTTTTATTTTTGGATTTTCCTAAGTAAACTGAGATGTACATTCAAAAAATGTACTGGAAGCAGCACTAGAAATGAGCCCTAAACTGCTAGCCTGTGACAGGTATGAAGGTCCCCCAGGCCATGTCAGAGGAAGCAGAAATAGCCATCTTTCTGCTGGGTAGACCGTAGAGTAAGAGGAGTGCATATGTGAGGGCCTATGCATGATGGGCCGAGGTCACAAAGCTGTTCCAAGGTAATGGTTACCTTCTAGCCATTTCTTCATCTGACACGTCAAGCTCCACTGTTTCATCTTCAACTTCTTCTGCTTTGTTCTTAGCATTCATCTGAAGCATTAATTTCTGAAAAATATACCAACACTGGCTATCAGGGCTGGAAAAGGCTTGTGAAAGGAACTGGTGTCAAATGTATTTGAAGGTAGAGAAACAGAAGTCACAGAATCTACAGGACAAGTCAAAATTTATAAGGGATTCTCTGTAACACTTAACTCCACAGTGTGCTAACACAAGTCAGCTCTGAATTAAACAACTACTAAGACAAAGCCCCACTAGATTAGGCCTGCTGTTAATGAATTCTAAGCTGTATTTTAGACCATCAATCTTATTCGTTACATGGAAAACAGGCACACTGCTCACACACTCTAGTGAGTGGGGGAAAGAAAACAGTAAACTTGCAGATTTCCTCCGAATTTTCAATCTTTGAGTCAAATGGAAGAAGTAGTCTAGTCAAGGGGAACTTTAAGTGCAATTTTTCGGCAGTGGTGGTGCTGGGGACAGCAAATTCCTGGATAGGAGAACTGGAAGGTTGGCCCTGGAATAATGGGGAGGACCTGCCTCACCCCCAAACATGAGGGTGGATAATGCATCCCACGTGATATCCACGTGCCACGGGTCTCTCAGCAATCTTTTTCTCGCATTAAGCTTTTCTTGAAAGTTACCCTCTGGCAGATTAAAACAAAAAAAAATGTCCAATACTTTATTTATAGCAAAGGCTACACATTTAAAGGACCGAAAATAAAATAACTTCAGGAACACAAGCTCTGTGAGGGCCTACACTTGGGTTCCCAACTGCATTTCCAGTGTTTCAAGAGGGCTGATGCAGCACAGGCGCAGAATAAATATTCACTGAATAAATCAACTCTGTGCTAGGTGTCACTAGAAACATATACAATATTAAATATGTGTTCTAAATACATCCTGCTTATAATAAAGTGCTCTCAAGTTGGCATCATTTTTTCTTTCATAACCAGGCATACTGAACTTTTCTGACATTTTATGACAGCTCAGCTCTGCAAGCCAAACAGGTCAAAGCTTTTCCCGAGGGAGAAGATACTCAGTGATACAGAGGGCCAGTCATTAAAACCGTTTTCCAGTGACCTCTCATATCAAATTCCAAGGGCTGTAGCAACTCCTTTTCCCACGTACCAGAGGTACTTTGGAGTGTCCGTCTACCCACAGCACCCGTCTCTGGCCATCACACACTCATAAGCTTCCCTTTTTTCCCCTGGGCGCCACTGCTCTCTTTCTCTCCCCAATCTAAGGCTTTAAGCAGGCGAAAACAAGGAAAGCATATATTAAAAATAAACACTTCTGGTGCCGATTTTGTTTGAAGTAAACTTAACACCTTAGTTATATCATAAAGGAGAAAAAAAAGAAAACCAACCTATCATCTTTAAGTAAACTCTGGCAATTCGCTTGGTTTGCTGTAGTTCTCTACAGGCATCGTTAGAGGAGTGGTTTTCAACCAAGGAGATTCACTCGCCAGGGAAACTTTGGTCTTCTCTGGGGACATTTTTGGTTGTCACAATTGGTGTGTGTGTGTGCACGTGCCTGGCATCTAGTGGGCAGAGGAGAGAGGCCAGGGATACTGCTAAACGTCCTACAATGCACAGGACAGCCCCACCACAAAGAGTGATCTGGCTCCATGTGTCAATAGTGCCCAGGGCTGAGAAATCCTGGCTTTTAAGTGGTAGCTATAAAGCTAAAACTTTGTATCACAAAAATCCATTTGGTTGGTCAAGTACCTGATAGGATGCCTTTTAACACACAGCCAGAGTTCTAGTATTTGTTTTAAAGGTCTGCGCCTCTTTATAAACTTGAGGCAGGTAAATTCAAATCAATAGCTCAGTTATAAGGTGATTGTTTACTTTTCAAACAAACTTCCCAAAGAATTCATTTAAAAATCTATTTACAAGTTGGGTTAAAACCTGTCGATTAAAAAGTCAAATTACTCAATTTTTAGGTAACATTTTTCCATCAGAAAAGGTATATTTATAGATGGCAGAAAACAATTTTTCATCACAGCATCATGTGAAAAAAATCCTGACATTCCTGTAAAAGACCTGAGCTGAAATTCCAACACTTACAGTGGCACTGTCAGGGACTTATACTGCTATATTAAATTATCCACTCAATTCTACCATAAAACTAGACTGCAATGCCTGCGATTTCTTTAAATAGCTATGGCAATATTTCAAGACTTGTTATTTTCTATATAATGAGGAGAAATGGTACCTGGTGGGGAAAACCTAAACCCAATTATTAGCAGAAAGAATTCAATTGGAAAATTTTAAAATTTGAAGCAATTATATTTAATACCTCAACCTCAGGATTAAATCCTCTGAATGACATTCTTCCATAGAGAAGATCTTCACATAACAAGAAACTCTGCTCTTCTATTATGAAACTCCTGAATGGGGGGAAAAAAACCTGTATTAATAGCACGTCTACTTATATAACAAAGCACAGCAAATATAAGTCAAGATTTCAAATGAAAAATTGATCTTATAGTTCTTAGTAGAATCAGGTAAAAATATAGTAAGGTTGTTAACCTAGGGTTAGAAATAAAAACTGATTAATTTGGCCAGCAAAGGCAATAGGAGACAAGAGCTGCAGTCTGGAGGCATAGCCTCTTCTGAATACTACATTTAATTTACATAAATGCCTATACAATGTAGATACCTAAAGTATTTACATTAAGCCTGAATTTTCCAAATTTGAAGCAGCTTCCTTGATGTTTACGCCCCCCTACCAAGTTCTTATTAAATACTCAGAAATCACAGTCCTGGGCAGCTTTCAGCGAGTTTATTAGTTGGAACTCTTGGCTATGAACAATGACTGACCCTGGATGACTTAAGCAGAGAAGGAACTTACTGTAAGGCCACTGGGTATCTCCTAGAATCACAGGGAAAGCTGGATGAATAGAACTGGAAAATGGGCAGAAAGAAGGGTGGTGAGGTGGTCGACTCAAAACCAAAACCATGCTATGAAACTACCCTGGTAAAAATGCCGCTGCTGCTGCTGAGAGGAATAAATACAGGACACCACAGAGGGCATTGGGAGGACCACTGTTGCCCTGGAAACAGGATGCAGGTGTGGGTGTTTCAGTCTCCAAAGGGATTCTCCTCTGAGTTACCAGTTCATGGCCCCAATCCCAGGTGAGCATACCTGACTATAGTCCAGCTATCAAACATAAAGCATGCTAGGAAAGCAAATATGAATACCCGGCCTTTATGGCTTCTTGGTGGAAAGAAGGCCCTGCTTCTTGTCAAGATTCACTCATTCATCTACTCACTCAGGACGCTTATTAAACCGAACTGCACGCCAGGCAGTTTTAGAAGCTGGAGAGACAGCCGTGAATAAGAGGTCCACTGCTCTCAGGAAGGTTACATTCTACAGAGTGGAGCCAGATAATAAATAAGATTTATGTTATACAATGGATAAAAAGGAAGCAGATTATTCCACTCCTGGCCATAAGGGAGTAATTGGTACAAAACTCGCCCTCCTACTGTAACCAATTATTAAAACGGGACAAAATGGGAAACAGTGAACAAGTCAAAGCATTGAGCTGTGATTCCTGAGATGAAAACCAAATGAAGTGAGCCCCATGAACGCGCGCCTTCTGACTGGAGGCAATTTGTAGACTGTGAAGCAGGGAGTGGGCGGGAGCTCAACCACAGCCCAGTCTCACTGAACTGAAGAGACAAACTGAAGTTTGGGGCTACAGAGGTGGCTAAAATAGATGGATCAAGATACCAGAGCAAGAGAGCTGCACGAAGGAATTCTGGGACCTGAATATGGGGTCCCCTGGAATCTTTGGCTGAATAGGCTGTACGTGAGCTGGGTAAGTCAAGGAAAAAAATAACAATTTCCAGGAGGAGAATTACCTGGTGCATTAGTTTTGTAGGGCTGCTGTAACAAATGAACACGAAATTGGTGGTTAAAGCAACAGAAATCTACGCTTGTATCATTCTGGAAGTCTGAAATCCATTTCACTGGACTAAAATCAAGGTGTTGGCAGGGCTGCACTCCCTCTAGTGCAGCGGTTCTCAACCTGTGGGTTGCGACCCCTTTGGGGGTTGAACGACCCTTTCACAGGGGTCGCCTAAGACCATTGCAAAACGAAAAGATATTTACATTATGATTCATAACAGTAGCAAAATTACAGCTATAGAGTAGCAACGAAAATAATTTTATGGTTGGGGGTCACCACAACATGAGGAACTGTATTAAGGAGTTGCGGCATTAGGAAGGTTGAATACCGCCGCTCTAGTGGCTCCAGGACAGAATTCATTTCTTGCCTCTCCAGCTTCTGTGGCAGCCAGCATTCCTTGGATTGTGACTGCATCACTCTAGTCTCTGTCCTCCATGGTTATGCTGCCTTCTCCGTGTGCATGAAATCTCTCTTTGCCTCCCCTTTATAAGGATATATGTAATTGCATTCAGATCCCACCCAGATAATCTGGAATAATCACCCCGTCTAAAGATCCTTAACTTAATCGTACAGGTAAAGTCAATTTTGGCATATAAGGTAACAGATTCCAGGTATGAAGGCCTGGATGTTAACTGGGAACCACTTTCCAGTCCACCATGCCTGAGAAAGAACATTTATCCTTGATTTGTACGTTGCACAAAGACGAGACCTTACCCAGAAGAGGCAAATGTTTGACTTGCGTCTACCCAGAGTGGAGACACCAAGCTGAATACCCTGTGACACTGAACAGGAAGGTCACATCCTAAGAGTGCGGCTAATCTAGCTCTACAATAAAGGCTATCAAAGCTACTCTATCAAAAACAGGGCTCAAGCTGATTGGCATGTACATCAACTGCCTAAGGGAACACATTTCAACCCTTTATTAAGGAAGACAACAAAATCCAGGTACTCAGCAATATAACACAATACGTAGCACATGATTAAAAATTACTAGACATGTAAAGAAGCAGACGAATGTGACCCATTAACAGAAGGAAAACAAGTCAATAAAAAAAGAAAGATAATAGAATTAGTAGAAAAGAACTTTAAAACAGCTATTATAAACATGTTCAAGGATTTAAAGAAAAATATGAATGTAAGGAAGACACAAATAGAGAACCCGAATTAAAAAATGGGAACTATAAAAAATTACCAAATAGAAGTTTTAGAACAGGACAAAAAAAGCAATAACTGAAGTGAGATATCAGAATAGTTTTAGATCTACTAAAGAAGTCTGTAGTCCAATACCCTCTATAAATATTGATGCAAAATCACTACTGGGCCAGCAGAGTGGCGCATTGGTTAAGAGCTGGCTTGGAACTCCAGAGGGCCCCGGTTCGGATCCCACATATGAGGGCCAGTGACACTGCCCTCTACAGCTAAGATGCTGAACAACAGCTCAACCTGGAGCTGGGCTGC